TCGTTCTCAGGTTGGAGGCCGTCGTTCTCAGGTTGGAGGCCATCACTCTTAGGTTGGAGGCCATCGCCCGTAGGTTGGAGGCACACGCTCGTATAATATTTTACAGCCCGAGGGTTTCCAGTTCATTCCAGTCCGGAGTGCTTGCTTGCGGCTTAGAGGTGGGGCCACCTGCTCCTGATGGCACGCTTTCCGCCTTGGAGTTGGAGTTGCACTTCGAGGACTGCTTGGTGATCCACTGAGGTAATTTCAAACCAGATCTCCTGGCAAGGTGCAGGTCCTCCAAGTGTCCCATTCGCCATGTCAGATTGTGTTTGGACCATGTTCCTCTACTTTCCTGGGCTCCGATCAGCCATGGCTGTGTGAGGGAGGGGGGTGGTGGAAAGAACTACTGGAGAACCACACATCTTTGATGCGACGCTCTTTATTTGCTTATTGATGTGATCTTCGGCTGCAGCGTGCAAGAACAGTATGCCTCGCCCACCACATATCCACCAGGCAAGTTTTAATTGCATTCACATGCAGCCGCGTACATTTGCCGCAGTTTCAAGCATCCCGTAGCACCTTGTTGTCATCAATCACTTTGTCACGTTTTTTGCAGAACATCCTTTTGATTGCCGATCGCCGATCGCTTCCCGCGGCCGTCCGCCGCTCGCTTCCGTCATGGCGGAAGCTCCGGGAGGGTTCGGCCGGGACAAAACGGAGACCGCCAAGACGCAGGGCACGGACGGCATTCTAATATCCCAACAAACCCCTAGGGATCCAGTCGTACCTTCTCAGAGGGTGATGTGTTCGACACTCTTATGTAGGTGCCTGGAGGGTCCAGTCGTACCGAAGCTGAGAAGGTACGTGCCTGGAAATGGTTCAACGCCATGAATTTTCTGCCACACCTTCGCTCCCCAACATCCAAAGTTCCAGGTCCTTGTGGTCCTGTTTCGTGGCGCAGAATTCTGGTGTGGCGCTGTGCTGTGTGCGTTCCTGTTGTGAACCAAAAGAAGTCGCATCTCTCGGAGCTTGCGGTCCTCTGGCGCCCCGTCTGTTGACATGCACTTGAACTTGCGAAAAGAATATAACACAGAACTGCACAACCGCACGAAGAAAACGATTTATGTTCATCATTTGCATTCATTTAGCTATACACCCAGAAGATTTCAGAAGCGACAATGTGTTTCTGGTCCTCCAACCCAAAATCCGGTTGAAACCTAGTTCGTGCAAACCACGAAATGTTGCCCGTGACATGTGCAACCCATTGGCGAACAGGTGGCACTGCGTCGTTGTGGAACACTTCAGCGTCCGCTTGGAAGTGGGAGCGAAACCGACAGCAATTCAGGGCAGATGTTCAATTAAAAACAGGTTTGCACAAGATGACGCCTAGATCCGCCAACTGTGCAACATGTCCGCCTTTTACAATCATGTTGAAGTCATGGCGGTTTTCTATTTTTGAAGCGTATCCATTGGGGAACACAAGTTTTTTCCTGCTATGCCGTGACTTCCGCGGCGTAGTTGGAAGACGGTATGAGACCGATGATTTCAACTCGATCATGTTTCTTTTCTCCGGCTTCAGATGGAGAAGCGGCGGACATGCTGGTTATCCGAATCGGTGGCTGCACATGGTCGGCCTCAAATCCAACCCGTGGACCCCGCTCCTTCTCGCTTTCACGATGGCCCTCCAAGGCGGGTCAGGGCCCCCGACAGCACACCAAGTACCGTGCACAGCCGGCGAGCTCAGCCGCCGTTTCCGCGTGTTTCTAGTAGCTTCTTGTTGTAGCGATCCCAGGAGCCCCTAGTAGTTTCTTGTTACCAGTAGTCAGTTTAAGGCAGGGGGGCTGGGGACCGAGGTCCAGCTGTGGTGGTCCCCCACAGGGCCTGATCTTCCGATTCTCACAGGCCGAGTGCGAGAGAGCGCAGTTGGTGATATGAGAGTGCAGCTGGTTCCCCCCCTTCGACGGACGAGGCTCCAAAATTCAACACCATACAGTAGTGTGAATCCATTCCCTTCGGCACCATCAGGTGTTTGTTGGTCCATCCTCCAGACCGCCGAAGGACATGTCAGGCCATCCCCCACCCCCGTCGGGCGCCGCATAGACTGCCGTCAGGTGGACCAGCTGCGCACTCGTTTGGTCCAGATGCCGGAGCTCCAAGACGTCGCCCTACCACGGCTGCCTCCCAAGGCCTCCGCCACCGCCACCGCGCCAGTCGGAGACCCGCACGCACTCGATGCGGATTGCCTCGAGGCGTCGCGTTCGCTTCGTGTTCCACGCGCTGCGCCAGGCCACGTTTCGCTCCCTGGTGTCGGGGCGTTTTGATGACAACTTCCTCCAGGCACCGCGGACCTGCCCGGCACAAGCGTCAACCGTTTGGACATGGGAAATGTCATGTGGACTCTTGATGAACCACCCCCACCGCATGAAGAGGTCTTACAATCCATGTCGCATCCATGTCAGCTTTTCTGAAAATCGATCGAGAGTCTACATCATGGTCATTTCCACTGCAACTGACCGGCATCAATGATGATGGGCCAGAGTTGATTCACTGATTCACTCAACAGAGGTTCCTTTCGTTTCCAAGCAGCGCGCTGCAAGGAGAGGCAGGGTCTTTTGACGAAGTTCTTCGAAGACCTGGCATCTGCGCTGAACACCAAATACGCAGAGGCTTGCAGAGAAGTTGATGGAGTGAGCTGTTGTCGAATGTCTTGACCTGCGTGACAGTGTCAGCAGTTTAACTAGCAGTTTAATATAGTTTAATTGTAAAGGTTATATAAAGCTCTTCATGGAAGAAAGGCGGTGGCAGGTGTGAGTATTGTAGGAACATGAGGCGAAGAAACTGGGCCAACAGATGTTTTTGTTGGTGGATGTTGGTGGTTTTGGTGTCCATGAAATTTGATATATATATATATATTAAATCATATTGGCCACTGGCCACCAGATTTTGCCAGATGCTGTGAGTGCAGGAACCGTTGGGCCCAATGAATCTGTGCCAGGGTGGGCCATCAAGGGTGGGCCCACCTCTGGCACGTTCTGTGCATATTTCCTGTCACTTGTTTCAGAGTTTGGCAGGAGACTTTGGCAGGGGATCAAAGGTCTTTTCATCGCAAGCCTCTGGTGCCACCAACGACCTCCGACCCGTCTCAGGTGGGCAACGTCGCGGAGCTCTGCGAGCCACTGGCCGAGCTCGGGGCGCCGAGGGACGGACGGAGGCCGTCGGACGGGCTCGGCTGGGCGGTCCGGAGAGGGGGAACTCGGCGGAGAAGGGGATTCCGCACTCAGGAAGTCGGAGCAGCTGCCCATTGGGGACTTCCCCCAGAGTATCAAGAAGAGGGTGGAAAAAGGATGAAAAGGGTGAACGTGCATTTTCCAGGGAAGCTGAAGGAGTCAGAAAATGCATGAAAATGCCTAACCACGTCTTCATTCTTCAGGATGCCTCCAAATCGCATGAACAAATCCGTCCCGCCGATTCCCACACCATCTTCCCACACACCGAGGTTTCTGGCAGCTGCGGTCAGGGCCTTGTCTCGCGACTCGCGACTCGCGCGTGACGACGTTGGGGGGCGGTACGTCCTGAAGTGGTTCTTCAATGCCTCCGTCGGGTCGGGGAGGCGTTGCTTCAAAAGAAGCCAGGCGTTGTTGCTTCAGGCGTTGTTGTGCCACTGGTTTTGGGGGGCATCACGCGTGTCATTGACAAGGCGTTTTTAATTTTGGCTCCAAAGGTTGATGAACCATCGAAACTCACAAAGAGATAGCAAAAGAGGCAAGGTCGCATGGTGTGGTCGTGTGAATTGATTCTTACAGTGGTTTCAGAGGTGAGAAATGGCACTGGCACGGTTTTAGACGTTTTAGACAGATGGGGTCCACGACTAGACCGCCCAACTTGGGGGCCCTGTTGCGATCTATATACTCTGAAACCACTTAGCTTAGCTGATCACCTGGCATCACCTAGCTTAACATAGCTTAGCTAATGGGGCCCTGGTGACTCTCTCAATCCACTTTTTGACGCCTCCACTTGTTGTGGCAAGCTTCGTTGACCAAACTTGCCAGTCCCGTGCGGGGGATGCAGCAGAGTTGGAGGCAGCTTGGAGCTCAGTGAGGCAACGCCTTGAGGAGCGTGGGACCTTATTATCAGGAACTCCCCCTGAAACTACGGTCAATTCAAGATCAAAATGCTACCGCCCAAAGATGCCAGGGAGTGGCAGAGCATGCACCCTGTTGTTCATTTGCAGCCCTTGAGGTGCCTCTCAGTGTAATATATATACTGTACATGTTTTACTCTCAATCAGATCTGATATGACGGATTCAGCCCCCAACATCCCCGAACAACCCCAAACACCCCCAAACAACCCCTCAAAAATTCGTTTCTCACGATGCACAGGGAGGCAATCGAGAATTTCTTAAGACTCAGCGACCAGCCAGGTCAGCCACTACACGAGATTCCCGAACACTCCATGGGGTGGCAGATCTGACCGACCTTCATTCCCAAGACGACAGCCCAAAAAAGCACCTATTAAACACCTAGTAGGTCATTTTGGTCCTATATAGTCATCTATTGCCTCTCCCATGAAGCCACGTGTGGCTTGCTGAAAAACGCTCGCACACGGCCCAACACCGAAGGTCGCAGCAGTGGAGGCGGCGATGCGGAGAGAGGAAGATCGGCAGATCATCGCCACGCAGAACGCGGAGTACGAGGAGAGTTCTGTCTTGGGGAGAGTGGGGTGAGGTGAGGAGAATTGGAAGATGCTTTTTGGAGGCCTGTTCCGGGTTTGGGGAAGAGTTCTGAGATGTTCTGAGGTTGAAGTGCAATTCGAAGGGTCTCTTTGAAGAATCTGTCACTTGTTCCTAACTTCGACCATGCTTGGCTCTTAATTAGATTCTTTCATAGTGATATCGTTATCAGTCATAGAGTTTGCACAGTGTACAAATTTATACAAGTAGGTCCTTAAAGGAGTCATGCAAAATAACAACAGAACTGCACTTGTTGAGGTGAGATGGGATAAGCACGGATAGATTCCTGTGTGTCCACCCCATCCCAGTGGTCCAGGAGAGCCTTCGGCAAGATGAGCTTCGACGCATCGAAGAGGCTGAGAAGGTACGCTAGCCGTACCAGCTGCGATGCCCCATGAAATGACCCAGCAGATTAGCCGTACCGGCCATCCAAAGAAAGATCGATCACAGATTCCCTAGCAACCATCAATCCTGGAGTCCACACCGCTCCGCTTCACGTATGCACTCGGTCAGGCCGAACGGGAGCAACAAGCGGCCATGGAGCAGGCGAAACGTCAAGAGGAGGAGGCGGCGCAGGCACGGGTTGGACCTCCAACCAACGGGTTTTGGTTGATGGTCCTTCTTCCATATGGGGATACCCATGGGAACATGGGTGGACAATGGCCAGGAGCTGACACCTCCTTGCACTGGCACAAGACCCATGGCAGGATGCTCATGTTTGGTGATCGTCGTGGAGCTTGAAGCGCTCCAAAACTACATGAAGTTCCATGGCAGAGACCCCTGCGTGCCAATAGAAAAGCAACAACTGTTTTTCATGGGTCAATTTGATTCAAGTTGGGGATTGAACCGATGCTCTTCCAGTGGATTCGGGTATCAGAACCAGCGACCTTGGGTGGTTCAGGTGACCTTGATGGAGCCTTGAACTGTGCAGGATGGACCACTTAGGGTTTGATTGGGGCTGTATAGGGGCGCTTGAAAAGCTGAAAAAGTATCAATGAGGCGGTATTGAGGCCACAACCATGGACTCCAAAGACTGAATGCATTGTATACTGTATGCTCCCTGACATCATCATCGTTCCCGACGGCCGAACAGCCGAAGGCTCGAGAGCAGGAGGAGGCCTTGAAGCTTCGAAGGGAGGCCTTCGAGCTCGCACACCCCGAACCGCAAGTGGCTCGGAGGGCATTTGATGCGTTTCTTTTTTCCATTTGGGAGGACTGCAGTCCTTTGGTTGACTGTAGCCAAGCAGCAATGACACCGTCGTTTGGGTCGTTTGAAGCTGATCTTAAGCTACTATTTGATACTCTTGGCCCAATTGCTCTACGGTTTGTGCTTGTGATAGACTCTTTCATTTGCAGTTTTCTCGCTGTCGGACGGTCCTGCAGTGCTATTATTCCCCCCTTGGAGGACCGACAGGGTAGGGTCAGAGCTGGTCTCACCCAGAAAGTGGCAAGTACGTGATTTTCAGGTCGAAGCGATCACTGCCTGGCCCTTGTTCTCATTTTATGCACTTCTTCCTCCCTGCAGGGCTGGAGGTCGTTCATTTTTCCATTCCATCGATGACTCGCGGAAGCTTGGATTTCTGTTTAGGCAGTTGTTTTCAACCCGAGCCCGGCTGCCACTTGCCTGTTTGAACTCCAAGGCAGGAGAACCCCAGGTCTGGCACTCAGTGCTGCACAGGGCAAGTTCGAGATCCTGGTGTGGAAACTTGATGGATCAGATGGATCAGATTGAAAACACCTCATGAGGGCCGTGCTGCCATGGTCTGTTTGCAGGTGACCTGTGTGATCCTGTGTGTGTTTGTATGAAACCACGTCTGGGATCCCAATCTCCGCAGGTAGACCTTGGAGAGTCCTGGCAGAAAGAAAAAGGCTTCACAACCAGCGCCCTCCATGAACACACGCAGGTGCCCAGAAACCACTTATTTAGGATCCGCTTGTTACATCTTGTGACAGCCTCTTGTTACGGCTCCTGGACGTTAGTTCGACTTAGTGGGGGGTGCAGAATTCACCAACGCTCTTCTAGATGGTGAAATTCCACGGTGCAGAAGTCACAGTCTGTTGGGCGACCTGGTCTTTGTTTGACTTTCCCATGCTTGCCCTATGGGTGAATCCCCTTTGAAATATGGTCAATGTTTTCCTGGTTCCTGAAGCAACCCCAAGACAATGAATGTTGCATTCAGGAACCAGGAAGACATTGACCATCTTTGACCATGAATGCCTTCAGGAACCAGTACAACTCCTGGTTCCTGAAGGCTTACAGCTTTGGAAAAGAGACGTGATGAAGGATGTTTCACCACAAGGGGTTCCCCGAACTCGAAGGGGCCATGACATGACTGGGGAGGGGCGCCTTGGAATGCTTCTCGGAGAGGGGAAGTTATCATGTAACATGATGTAATATGATGTAATCATGATGTAATACGATCACATGATCTTGACTCAGCAGCATTCCACCCATTTGGTCCTCCATTTAATCCTCCACCACGTTCTTGGCCAAGTTCCACCACTCGTTGTGGCCCACCCTCTTCCCCGGTGCCCGTCCAGGCGATGATGCGCTTCCGGGCGCCTTCGGGCGCGACGCTGCAGCGGTGCTTCGGGGAGCTGGAGCGGGTGGCGGTGCTCTTCGAGTTCGTGGCACTGGCGGAGTGGGATGGGCCCAAGACGCGCCACTTCGACCTCAGGACGGCCTGGGGAGAGCGACTTCCCCCACGCGCGAGCGCGCGCACGCGTGCGTTTCTCCGTGTGTTGGGGAGACGGGAGACGTGGTGGAGGGGTGAAGGGACGTGACGTTTGTTGGGGGGGAGGGTTGGGAGACATGAGATGAAAGGAGGAAGAACGAGTGGTGAGGATGTGGGAAGGAGATGGAAGGAGGGCTCTTTGAAAGGGTGAAGATGGGGGAATGGTGAGAGGCTGTGAGAGGGGGGGTGGGAAGGATGAAACTGGAAGTGGCAGAACTTCTTCTGCTTGGGGTTTCTCACTGAAGGTCACTAGAACATACAAGCTACACCACAATACAAAATACACACACACAATCTCACACACAGATATAAAACAACATTTATATATATATATATTATATATTAGGTATACAATGCAATGTATATATGTATGTTGTATCATATCATATTACTATATTCCCTACATACCATCACAAGATATCACAAGTACCTTCACAGTCCCTGGAGTCCACCGTCATGAGATTTCCTGTTCGGGAAAAAAAACGTCCACCGTCTCTTGCGTCGTTGGTCGAACTCTCAGGACCTCGTTCCCCGTGACGAACCTGAAAGGCTTAGAGTCCCAGAGCCTCAGGCCGAACCCAAACGCGTTGGTTTCCAACGGGCGCGAGCACGCGCGCAAACGCGAAGGAGTTGGGCCATCCATTGGTGGAAACACCCATAGTGATCGAGAGACGATCATCCCTTGAATGATAGGGATGGAACATCATGACTATCTGACTATCTTATGGAACTGGATTGGTGGGAGTGTGCCCGGAGCACGTGCCGCAAATTTTTCTCAAGGTGCCTGTGTCTAAAGACCAGCATGGAGACATTTGCCTTCCATACACCTGACACCTGTATCTAAATCGGTGTGTTGTAGCAGTTGCATCACCTGCATGTTCTGGGGTTCGTGTGCAATACTACCTCTACCCCAATTGAGTAGTGCCACCTCTCGAAAAGGAAAGCCACAGGTGGTAGAAAGAGACCAAAATGCAAAGCCAGTCTGCCGGTGGATGCCAGTGGTTAGGTATCATCTATTTTGGACCACCAACCACCCCAAATGAGGTCCTTTGCCATCAAAACATTGGTCATGTTTGGGCTCCAGGTGTAGACTAGTAACTGTTGAGGACTGTATGAAAGTCACATGACCCACATCTGGGCTGGTTGTCTTCTGGACTCCTCCATTTGGATTGAGCTGCTTTTTCATACTGTTGATGGACAAAATCCTGCACCACTTTGCGCA